ATATTCTCTGTTTCTTCTTGGTTCAGTTTTGGGAGGTTGTAGATTCAAAAAATTTATCCACTTCTTCTAGGCTATCCAATTTATTGGTGCATAGCTTTTCATAGTATTCTCTTATAATACTTTGTATTTCCGTGGTATCTATTATAATTTCTACTACCTCAGTTCTGATTTTATTTATTTGAGCTTTCTCTCTTTTTTCTAAGTGAGTCTGGCTAAGGATTTGTCTTTTTTTTATCCTTTCAGAGAACCATCTCTTAGTTTCAATGATCATTTCTATTGCTATTTAGTCCCTATTTCATTTATTTCTGCTCTAATTTTTATTATTTTCTTCCTTCTAGTGACTTTGTGCTTTGTTCTTCTTTTTCTAATTCTTTTAAGTATAATATTAGTTTGATTATTTGAGATTTTTCCTGTTTCTTAAGGTTGGCATGTATTACTATAAACTTCCTTTTTAGCACTGCTTTGCCTGCATCCCATAAGTGGTGGTATGTTGTGTTTTCCTTTTCATTTGTCTCCAGGCATTTTTTTATTTCTCCTTTGATTTCTTCATTGATCCAATCATTTTTCAGTAGCATGTTGCTTACTCTTCACATATTTGTGACTTTTCCAGCTCTCTAGTTGTAGTTGATTTCTAGGTGCATGCCGTTGTGGTAGGAAAAGATGCTTGATAGGATTTTAATCTTCTTAAGTTTATTGAGGCTTGTCTTGTTTCCCAACATATGGTCTATCTTTGAGAATGATCCATGCACACTTGAGAAGAATGTGTATTCTGCTCCTTTGGGATGGAAAGTTCCATTGATATCTATTAAGTCCATCTGGTCTACTGTTTCATTTAAAGTCACTATTTCCTTGTTGACTTTCTGCCTGGATGATCTATCATTTGATGTAAATGGAGTGTTAATGTCCTCTACTATTATTGTGTTGCTGTCTCTTTCTCACTTTAGATCTGTTAATAGTTGCTTTATATACTTTGGTGCTTCTATGTTAGGTGCATATGTATTAGTAAGTGTTATACTTTCTTGGTGCAATGTCCCTTTTATCATTATATAATGTCCATCTTTATCTCTTGTTTTCTTTCTTGACTTGATGTCTATTTTGTGTATTATAAGTATGGCTACACCCACTTTCTTTTGCATGCCATTTACTTGGAGTATCATCTTCCATCCCTTCACTCTGAGCCTCTGTTTGCTTTTAGGGCTGAGATGTGTCTCCTGGGGCCAGCATATTGTTGGGTCTTGTTTTGTAATCCATCCACTCTGTGTCTTTTGATTGGTGAGTTCAAACCATTTACATTTAGAGTGCTTGTTGATATATGAGAGCTGAATACTGACATTTTATCTTCTCTTTTCTAGTTGTTTTATATTTCCATTGTTTCTTTTTCCTTGTATTTCGGTCTGCCATTTCAGTTTGGTGGTTTCCTCTGATGTTTCTCTCAGTGTCCTCTTTATTTATGACTTGGAACTCTGCTCTGATTTTGTGTGTGTGTGTGCTTACCATGAGGGTTGTATAAAAGATCTCATAGATGAGATAGTCCTTTTTCTGCTGATATCATCTTATCTCCATTAGCCTATGCCAGTTCCGTCCTTTTCCTCTTCCCATTCAATGTTTTTGTTTTCACAACTTACCCTATTTTGTGTTGTGAGTTTGTTACCAAATTGAAGTGTTTATAGTTATTTTTCATGCTTTCTTTCCCTTTAGCCTTTACGTTATAATTAAGCATTTAGTAACCTATTCTGATATAAAGTTGCAATTTTTTGAGTCTGTCTGTCTATTCATCACCCTGCTCAAAGCTTTGTAAACGTTTGCCTTTTTGTTTCAGGTAGGAGGGCTCCTTTCAACATTTCTTGTAAGGCAGGTCTACTGGTGATGAACTCCCTCAGCTTTTGTTTCTCTGGGAAAGCCCTTATATCTCGTTCATGTCTAAAGCAAAACTTTGCTGGATAGAATATTCTTGGTTGATAGTTTTTGTCTTTCAATATTTTGAATATATCATTCCACCCTCTCCTAGCCTGTAGAGTTTCTGGTCATAAATCTGCTGATAGCTTGATGGTGGTCCCTTTGTAAGTTATTTCCTCTGTCTGACTGCCCTTAATATTCTTTCTTTGTCATTGACTTTTGACACTTTTCATATAGTACACCTTGGGGAAGGTCTTTGTGCAATGAGATAATTAGGGGTTCTCTTAGCTTCATGTATTGTATATCCAGTTCCTTCCCCAGGTTTGGGAATTCTCAGCTATTATTTCTGTGATTAAGCTCTCTACTCCTTTCTACCACTCTTCTCCTTCTAGGATACCTATTATCCTTGTGTTGCTTTTCTTAAATGAGTCAGATATTTCCCATAGAATTTCTTCATTATTTAAAAATCTTGGTTCTCTCTCCTCTTCCATCCGAATCACTTCTAGATTTCTATCTTTGAGGTCACTAATTCTCTGTTCCATATAGTCTGCTCTATGATCAAGGCTTTTGACTTTTTTTTTTTTTTTTGGTGAAGAAGACTAGTCCTGAGCTAACATCCACTGCCAATCCTCCTCCTTTTGCTGAGGAATGTTGGCCCTGGGCTAACATCTGTGCTCATCTTCCTGTATTTTATGTGGGATGCCTGCCACAGCATGGCATGAAAAGCAATGCATAGTTCCATGCCTGGGATCCGAACCTGCGAACCCCAAGCTGCCAAAGTGGAGTGTGCAAACTTAACCACTACTCCACCACGCCATCCTTTGACTTTATTTTCATCTCATTAATTGTGTTCTTCATCTCCAGAATTTCTGGTTTTTTTTTTTTTTTTTAAGATTTCAATCTCGCTGGTGAACTACTTCTTCTGTTCATTAATTGTATTCCTGAGCTCACTGAACTGTCTTTCTGAGTTTTCTTGTAACTGGTGGAGTTTCTTCATGACAGCTATTTTGAATTCTCTGTCAGTTGGACTGTAATCTTCTGTGACTTCAAGTTTGGTTTCTGGAGAGTTGTCATTTTGTTTCTGTTCTGCTGGGTTACTGTCATTCTTTGTGGTACTTGATGAGTTGATCCTTGCCAGTGGTTTATGGTAGTAAACACCTTTCTTATTCAGGTAAGACTTTGGTTGCTTCAGTTCTGAGCTGCTTCTGGTTGTATTTGAGAGCCTGTACTTTCTACCCTCCACTGCCTCTGCTACAGGAGTCTTGTGCTGCCTGTGCCTCTGAGGTTGCTGGTGCCTTGCTGCTTACAATGCCACTGTAGTCTTAGATGTCACCACCAGAGTCACCAGGCTGCAAACACCTCTGCTGCTTCTGGGATCCTCTGGCTCTCAGGTTCTCCCACTGGCTCTCTGCAGGACTCCACGGACACAGGTGCTGCCCCATGCAGCACCTGTGCTGCTGCTCCTGAGTTATCTGGATGTGCTGGCAGCACCACTTCCAGGCCCACTGTGTTCATGGGCATTGCAGTCACCGTTAGGGTCCCGGGGTCTTGTATGCAGCCCCTGATTCTTGTAGAGCCAATGTCAGGGATGCTGCCACTGGGGTCTCAATCACAGGTTCCCCTCTGGTTCCTGAAGCCTTAGGTCACAGCTGCCACATGCCACTGCTGTGGGAGGGCAGGAGCTAAGCCACAAATACTGTTATTGTTCCTGTAGCCTCTGGTCACTGGTGTGAACTGATGTACTTTTTAAAACCTCAAGTCAGGAAACTCCACCCTTGTCAAGGAAATCTGAGTTTTGGATAATGTTCCCACTGCTCTTAAGACCACCACCACTGCTAGGGGTGGAGGAGGGGGCTGGGTTGCTGGCACCACTCTGTGTCCTGAAGCCTCAGGATATGTGCACAACTTGCCACTGCTGGGCAGGGGGGGCTATGGCACAAGAGCCGTGTCTGCCCCTACAGCCTCTAGTCAGCGGCCCACGTGCTGTTGTGAGAATCCACATTTCAGATCACCACCACCAGGGGAAGAGGAGGGGGCTGCTTTCCTCATTCCACTGCCTCCCAAGGGTCCAGTGCACCCACCTTCAGATGTATAGACGCATGGACCTCTCAGGCTTTCTGGTGTTCTGTGCAGGGAGTATTTGTTGGTCAATAAATGTACAACTGGTTGTAATTTAGGGGGAAGAGACAAAGGGGACAACTCCCTCCACCATGATGCGGTCATTTTCAGTGCTTTTCAGCATACATGCAGAGTCATGCAACCATCACCTCATTCAAGATTAGAATATTCTCATCACCCCAAAAAGAAATCCTATCATGGCTCTGTTCCCCCATTCTTCCTAGCTTTAAGCAACCACTAATATACTTTCTGTCTTCAGATTTTCTTGTTCTGGACATCTCACATGTATAGAATCATATATGTAGTCTTTTCTCACCAGCCTCTTTAATTTAGCCTTCTGTTTTCAAGGTTCAACCATGTTGTAGGATGTACTTCATTGCTTTTTATAGTGTCCATTTAATAGTCGAGTTTTCCACAGCCCTCTCCATCACCATATTGCCAGGCCATTCATCACTGCTCTTGAGTTGATAAAAACACAATCATAGAGAAAACAGCATGCAATTCAGTCCACTGAGCTGATTTGTTATCATCCTTGATCAGAGTGGCAGCCTTCCAAAGCAGATACTCTCCATTCACCTTGGCACTGCCATCCATAAACCAGTCAGCTCTTGGTTGGTCAATAGAGACATAATCATAGAGCACTGCCCAAGACCATAACATCTTCAAGTGGTCACAAAAGCAACCTTTGATACTAATGAGTACTTCCCTACATTCCCCTTAGCAAGTTCCTGTATAAACCATATTCGTTTACCTGTGGAACTTCTGGGTACTACTCTCCCAATTAGAACACTTCTCTGATATCAACCAAGACATTACGGGTAAAACAAGTTTCAAGATTGTGTTATGTCCTTCACTCATAGAGGCAGTCTTAATTAATGTTCATAGAAAATTGGTAATTGTCTCTCAAGTGGAGACAATCCAAGCAATTTTGATATTTACCATTCTTGTGCGTGGCTTTCTAGGTAACAATCTGTGTTGCATTTTAGGCAGCGTGGTGAATGTGTCTAGCAAAATGAGCTTCATGCCTCATAAACACTGCAGCCCAGAACTCCAGGAGAAGTTTACAAGTGAAACCATCACGGAGGAGCAGCTGTTGGGGCTCATGAACAAGTTCGTGGAGGATACGAAGAACGGAGTGCACAAAAAGGAAGGCTGGCCTGATATCAAGGTAACGGCATATGGAGTGTCGAAGATAGGCATCACGGTCCTGTCCAGAATCCATGCCAAGAAACTGAGTGAGCAGAGGAGAGAGGGCAAGATCCTCATGAATGCCTGCTGCCCAGGATGGGTAAGAACTGACATGGGGGGACCCAAACGCATAAAAACCCCAGAAGAAGGAGCAGAGACCCCTGTGTACTTGGCCCTTTTGCCCTCGGATGCTGAGGGGCCTCATGGAGTTTGTTAGGGAAAAGAAAGTTGAACAATGGGGACCCCACTTATAATTCCCTCCAGGGTTCCCATTCTTTTAAGAGCTCTTATTTGACCAAAAGGACTGTGCCAAAAAAAAAAAAGATCAAAATATCCCTATCAACTGCTCACTTTGACTTCACTACTAAACTCATGAAGTCCTTTGTGATTTCTTCTCTGGTATAGGGGCAGAAAACGTGGAATCAATGACAAGAATGAATAAAACTCATAGAGGAATAAATGGTTCTTTATAAATGTCCATTTGTGCAGATTGTTTACATGCCCAACAGCTCAGAAAAGTAATAGACCTTAAAGTTAGGTCAACAGAAGGACAAAATAACTGAGGGGTCACAAACATTATAGAAATAGCCAGTGACTACATATTTTCGGATTTACAGGTCACACAGTCTCTGTTGGAACTACTCAGATCTGCTGAGGTAGCATGACAGTAGCCATAGACAATGCAAAAGCCAATGAGCATAGCAGCATTTGGGCTGCCAGCTGTAGTTTACCAGCCTCTAGTATAACATGGTCAACACCATGAAGGGAACACATCTGGTGTGGTCTCTTTAACACGAAACTCATTGGAAAAACACAATTGCAAAGTGTGAACTATAAGTGAGCACTAAAGATAAATCCTTAAAAGAATCTGAGACAGTGGCGAAATTGAATATCAATTGGGTGTTAGTGGACAAGAGAGAATTATTGTCAAATCTCTTTTGACAATAGTGACAATAGTGAATGTGTTATTTATATATGGAGGAAGTGTCACGAGATCTTCAACACAAACATGGTTCAGCAAAATATATACAGAAGATGAGCACAAAAATGTAGTAAAATATTCACAATTGTTCAACCTAGTCTGGTGGATATATGGGTGTTTACTGTACTATTCTTTCAACATTTCTGTTTGAAAGCTTTCAAGACAAACATCTGGAAACAAAAAATCCTGACTGTGTCCCCTCACTGTGTGACATTGAGCACAATACTTCATCTTACTGTATCTCAGTACCTCAACTGTGAAATGGGGACAGTAGGCATAGGATTAAATGTCCTGAGACAGATGAAAATGTTGAAAACACAATAAAAGCACGAAGGGTCTTCTATCATGAGTCCCTGTGACTGGGACCTGACACCACAGGGCAGTGATGAGAAGCTTCTTACTGCCCGTCACCGTCCTGCCTCCCAGTGGGCCTCAGTGAACCTCCACGACATTCCCTCCCTTCACAGAAGCACTTCATGTTGTAAAGATGTCCCTACTGTAATGATTATTCTTCATTCTTTACCAGTGATTTTAAGGCTTACAGACATGAAAAGGGATAGCCGCTGAAAGCAAGGCTAGCTCCCTTATTTTAAAAGTAAGGTTTACATGTTTCTCCCTTCAACATGGCTGTTAAATTTCCTCCATGTTGTTTTTGTAAACTGACACCAGAGGACAACATTGCCTAGGTCAAGATCCTAGCATCTCAACTGTTTGGAAATGTATACTTGAAATTGCAAAGATCCTTTTTTTCTTAGTACCTTAAAAATAACACCTAACTATATATACCACTTTCTATCTGTGACCTTGGACAATACCAAAATTTGATAACCATTAAATAAAACAGTGCAGTCACTGGCTTGGCACACAGTAAGAGCTTCATAAAACATTACCTGTCACCTGGGGGCACACAGCAAAGTACCCTGCCCACATTGAAAGTCTAATCAGAGGACCTAATTCTCTAATTCGCTCTCTTGAGTTTTTCTAAGAAGGCAAGGGGATCAATGTCCTTAGAAGCAGTTACCCTGTCTAAGTAATTTCATTGCATCTTAGGAAAAAGCAACCCTTCCCATTCTGCAATGGATAATGGGCCCACATCACAGTGCAATTGCTCTGCACTCCTTTTTCTCCTTTTTGGGTTCTCCCAGAATAGTTTCTTATGTTCAACTGCCATGAGTCTCGGGTTCCCTATTAACACATTAACAACCAGTTTCACCATGGGGAAGCACATATCTCCACACTGCAACCATTGTTTAGCTCAGTGTAGCGATAAAAGAGGACTATGTCCTAGGATGGCCCCTGGTGCAGCACAGTTAAGGGGTAGACCCAGGAGTAGAGATATTAGGAAACCTTTTGAAACATTTGGCCCCTCCTAGGAGGGAGGGATGGAGGTGGGGCCTCCTTCTCTGGAAATCACAGCACTGGATCCCAAAACTCATTTCTGTATAGCCTCTCTGACTGTGACCTCCCCACTGAGTGCCCCCATGGCCCATAGCCCTGTCCGCTCTCCACACAAGTGCCTCGCACACTCCCCACCCAGTCATGTCCTCTTACCCCTTGTGGCACTGGTGACCAGGGCCAACAAGGGCATCGGCTTCACCATCACATGTGACCGCTGCTGGCAGTTCTCAGGGGACATGGTGCTCATGGTACCAGATGAGGTGCTGGTCCAAGCAGCTGTGCAGCGGCTGCAGGCCTAGGGCCTGAGTCTCTGCTTCCACCATCTGGCCATCGAAGACCTGCAGAGCATCATGCCCTGTATGACTTACTGCACAAGGAGCACGGGGGTCTCCATGTGCTGATCAACATTGTGGGCATCACCTTCAGGAGTCAGTGGATGTGAGCTCAGAGGGGAGGCAGCCTCCCTGAGGGTGGCCAGCCAGGGTGGGTTGGGTCCTGAAACACTGCTGTGAGACCCTTAGCTCCTATGGGATCTAGAATGGACGCCCTAGGGTAACAGGTAAGACTAGAGGCTACAGGGAGAGTAGAATCCTCTGAGATTTGCGAGGCTGTCAGCAGAGAGCATTTGCACTTCCATGGAACAAAATCTTAGGGATCTCTTCCAGGTTTTTGCACAGTTTCTAATGGATTAGACTTTAGAGCAGTTCAATGAACTTTTAACTTATATTAAAATAAGCAAGGAATTGTAAGAATGGTACACAGATCCCATTCTGCACCTTTCACTTAGCCTCCCCTAATGGTGACATTTTAGAAGACTATACAGCATTTACAAGCCAGGAAATTGACATTGCATAATTCTGTTACCTTAAATCAGGCATTACTTGGAATTCAGGACATTTCACGTGCACAAAGAAATTTTGTATCACTCTACGAATTTTTAACACAAGACTACTGTTTATTAACTCTATTTTCTTTAGCCGTAAAGTTCCTGATTCCATACCCTTGCATATTCAAGCAGAAGTGACAATGAAAACAAACTTTTTTGGTACCCGAGATGACTGCACGGAGCTACTGCCTCTCATAAAACTCCAAGGTGAGTCTGATGAGGACCCCAAGCAGTAGCGTTTCTGGCATGACCTTCCCCTGCCTCCCTCTGACATATCAACTGGCTCCTGCTACCTCTCCCTACTCAGCTACACTGGCCTCCTTGTGTCTCCACTGGGCCAGGTGCCCTTCTGCCTCAGGCCTCTGTACACTCTTGTCCAGTGGTCATCAGTGCTCTCTGTCCTGCTGGTCTTTGCACAACTGACTCTTACACTTCAGGTTTTCGTTCAAAGTCTCCTCAGAGAAGCCCTTTACTTGCTCTGTGCACCTCACAAGTTAGAGTTCCCTGAAAATTCAATCCTGGACTCTCTCTCCTCCCTCTCCCTCTCTCCGAGTGACCTAATTTAGGCTAGTGGAGCCTTCACTACCCTCAATTTATTAGGTCCCCCTAAAGTCTGTCACGTACCTAGAACATTCCCAGAGCTCCAGACACATATTGTCTTCCTGCCTCTCCTTCTCCTCCTGATGCCCTCTCTTCCTCCCCCAAATCCCCAAGTCTAAAGCAATTCCAGAAGACAATAATTTTTTCCCTGTATCATCTTGGTCACTGATTCCACCATCCACCAACCAGGATCCTGGAGGTCAACACACCCGTCCCCTCATTATCATTTACCAGGTCCTAAGACTTCCTCTCCTGATTTCTCTATGAGCCTTCTTCTGCATCCCAGCTCTACAACAGACACTCAGCTGTCATTGCTGGGTAACTGAAATCCTCCTAAGAGACATCTATTCTTTTTTTTTTTTTTTTTTGTGAGGAAGATCAGCCCTGAGCTAACATCCATGCCGATCCTCCTCTTCTTGCTGAGGAAGTATCCCTCCCCTAACCCCCAGTACATAGCTGTATATCCCAGTTGTAAGTCATTCCAGGTCTTCTATGTGAGCCACCACCACAAAATGGCAACAGACAGATGGGCGGTGTGTGGTTCTGCTGCCGGGAAGCAAACCTGGGCCGCTGAAGCTGTGAGCACCAAGCTTTAACCACGAGGACATCAAGGCTGGCTCAAGAGACCTCTATTCTTAAGTGTTTTCTTTTCTGAGCATTCTCTTTACTCTCTGCATCCGCACTCCCCTCCTGAAAATCCATCAGGAGCAAAGTCTAATCCCTTAGCACGGCTTGTAGGGAATCTCTGTAATCTGACATGCCTAACTCCAGGCTCATTTTAACCCCCCTTCAATGTTTTATGTTCCAGACAAGACAAACTATCATATTTCTTTGGTTGTAAACTCCTGTAATACTCACCCCAAGGTAGTGGGAAGGAGGGGAACCACCACCCATTACATATATCAATTAAGACAAGCAGATACTTTTAGAAAGATTAAGAGTTGTGGCTTGGAATTCAGTACATACATGAACAGTTTACTCACAGTTCAGCCCCATTTCCCTGTCTTCTCCTAGAAAGTTCTGCTACTTCTTCTAACACTTGGTTCGCTAGGGCCTCAAAGGGCACCTCTTTCAATATTACCTGAACCCTTCACTCACCCCAGTGCTTGATGGCAGCAATGGAGTTCCTTATGGCACCACCACACATTCTACATGTATTCCTCTTGGAATCATAAGAATCACTTCTGGCTGAATATTTTCCTTACTTAACTGGGCTGTGTTAGTTCTTGTTGTGTCTGTTCTTGGTCCAGAAGGAGGAATGGGTGCACTCACAGATTTGCTAAGACAGGCTCTATACAAACAGCCTATGTTACCTCACCAAAGCTAAAGTTAATGGAAATGTAAATACATGCTATATTCTTGGTATACAGCAAAATTTTCCTGCCTTT